CCCCTGCCCCCCCCCCTGCCTGCCGCCACGCCTGCTGCACCTCATACCACTAATATACCAGCCAGGGCCTTCTTTCGCGCCACCTTCTTTCACGCCAGTGCAGCCAGGGCTTCTCTCATGCCCCACCCAGGGCCTCTGTTCACGCACTAGTCAGGGTCTCCATTCGTGCCCCGCCAGGGCTTTCTTTTGCAAAAGAAGCCTGGCACATGAAAAAAGGCCCCGACTGCACTAGCACGAAAGAAGGACATGGCTAGAAAGGGCCTTCTTTTGTGCCGATGCAGCCAGAGCCTTTTTTCATGTACCAGGCTTCTTTTGCAAAAGAAGGCACTGAATGGGGCACAAATGGAAGCCCTGGTGGGGCACGAGAGAAGCCCCTGCTGCACCAGTGTGAAAGAAGCACATTTGTTCATGTGACCACAGGGGCACTGCAATGGCCAGAAGTTTGAGGACCAGTCGTAAGTCCCCTCATTCAGCACCATCGTAACTTTGAACAGTTGCTGAACAAATGGATGTTAAGCAAGGACTACCTGTAAGTCATGGTTTATAACTAACTTTGAGCAGAATCAGTTTGAGATGGTCAGACTGCAAGGGCTGAAAGAAGCCATAACACTTAAGCTGATGTACATTTTTGAAAACTAAGGGTACCTTCCAGTTCTGGGCTGTTTTGTGATAGTCTGAGATTTCCAATTTTAGTTTAAAAACTTGTGAAACAGTATTTCTGAAAAATCTTCTTGAAGATTTTTTTTTTACTTATTGTTCCTTTCCCTTTTCCCACTTTGCAAAGCATTAACTTAATTACAGGTCATTTAGAAGAGCCAATGCCTAACCCGATGGATGAAATGACTGAAGAACAAAAGGAATACGAAGCAATGAAACTGGTCAATATGTTTGATAAGCTTTCTAGGTATTGTATCTCTTTTCATGTTCATTTCTTTATCCTGCATACAGTTTCATTGTCATTAATAATTTCACTGTGTTTGAGTTATACATTTGCATCAGTGCAGCTCTTAAAGTGTATTCAGCTACTCCACTGGCCAAGGACCGTTTTGCAATAAATGTTGGCAGGCATCCAAAATCTGGTCATTGACCCTAATTAAATAAATATAAAAAGATATTCAGTAAGTACCTTAAGAGTTTTACCAGTTGTAGTCATGTGTACCCTAAAAGAGGTACTCTCTTTACTAAGCACTCTGCATTTTGCTGAAAATAACTATATGGTTATTTCTGAAAGGATTCTCTTTCTACCTGAAAGCGGGACCATCATGGAATGACTGGTCATTGCTATTTTAGAAACCAAAGTATCACATTCCTTTTGAATGGAAGTGGTAATACTTAAAAGCAAAACGGATTGCCTTCTGTGGCATGCAGACTCCACAGTACCAAATTATATCATGGAATGGAGTAAGTACTCCTAAAGCTGGAGCCTTTTTTAAAATGTGAGGCATATTGATCTGTAAGGAGAGTATTGCAAATATTCCCTAATAAAAGACATAGTGATGACTTCCAGATTATTTCTTCTATTCAGATGTTTAGTTAGGTATGTTTCATAGATCTGGGAATGATTTAGTTCTGGTTTTGCATAGATGGACAACATTTAGTTCCTAACTGCTCTGCATAACACAAGATGTAAATTGATCAGAATTGGAATAAATTAGCTGCAACTCACTCTGTTTTTCGTTATTTCATGTTTTGAGGGTGGGGTATCCAGGTAAGATTAGCCTAAAGAAATATATTATCTGTGTGTTGTGCAGCTAAGAGTCTCTCACCCTTTCCCAGCTCCCAAATCCAGACACTTCAACCACTTTCTGCTACCCTCTTTAGAATCACATTTCTTTCTTATTCTTTTGTTTGTGCATGTTTGTTCTGTCTCTCACGCTGCACTTTCCCTGCAGTGCTGAAGATTTGGATTTTGTTCCATTCTCTCTTCTTTGTGATACTACTCGCTTGGTCAGGACTTTAACGCTACCCAAGATCATGTATGTGGTTAGTTTATACTGCCACTAGGGAATATAAATTTACACCGTGCAACTTTTATCCGGTCCTACATTGATTTTTGCTATATCTTTCTCATACTTAGTTTCACTGTACTGATTCAATAGATAATGCACCCCAATTTATGATTCATGTGGCTAGTCACCATTTCTAAGATTGTTTTCAAGAGTATAGAGACTTTTCTAAACAGTAGAAACCAGTTTAAAAATAAAGAAGAGAAAATAAGCCAGTTTCAACGTGAAAGGATAGGACAATGTTAGAAATCAAATTTCAGCTCAGTTAGGAGGTGAATTGGACTATTCTTTTTAAGTAGTTCCACCTCCCATTTTATTAATGCAAACAGTAATTATTGGGCCAAAGGGCAGATTTGGAATTTTCATAACTCTCCTAGAAACTGGTAAAAAGATGACAGTTTCTAGGAGAGTTAGATGACAATTGATATTAAAAACCAAACATTCCAGAGTATACCTGTGGGAACATTAATATTTCTAAATATTTGACACCGCCATTTCTACTCTTCTCAGCGGGTTTCATTCACACGCTCTGTGATTTGGACACTTCAACAGAATTCAGGAGAGAGCTTCAAGACAGCCTGAGATATTTAAAAAATTATGTTGTCTTTGATACCATTTTCTGATTAAAAATGTGATAGTGATGAGCTGAATCTTAATTTCAGAAGGCCAGTTGCCATCTAGTATAACATCAGTTTTGTGACATGTATGCAACTCTTTGTCTACCTTGTGTGATTGGAAGTTTTCAGTGTTAATTAAAATGCTTTATAAATATTTTCTTGCAATTGTAAACTGGTGGCACAACTATGAATTCACTGAGTAATTATAATGCTATAGTGCTTTTTCCAAGCCAACCTTGTATTAATAGTAGGAATCCTTCTGCTGATGAAACAGTCCCCAATTATCATAGTTTGGGTTTTGTTGTGCATTGACAAGAAATCAGTAAAACAAGGACATAACCAAACCAGCCTAAGTAGCAGCCTTGCTCATTAAAAATGCAGAATTAATCACAGTGGTGGCTGAAAAAAACAGTGCCTTTGTTGGTTTTTCTCTCCTTTTCTAATTGTGGAACAAAATAGTGTACATAAAAGGGTTGGCACTATTATGCAGCACTCAATTATAGAGAGGTGAATGGGTTCCCCAATACACTATTTTATCAAAGGAATAGGCCTATGTTTGCAATACGGTTGCTTTATTCCAGGCAACTACCATTAGTTCCATGTGGGAACAGTGACTGTTATGCCCAGAGCAGGCAAGAAAGAAAGACCCTTGAAAATCAGGCAGTGGATTGGGAATTGACCAACTAATGGCAAGCAGAAAGCAGAAACAAACATTCTATAGATAAATTTGAAGGGTTAATGAAAGATTTGGAAGAATGTGTTTTTATTAAGTCTTTCATTCTGTCATGTTTGCCAACAAATAGTACTGAATATATCCTTTTTTATTTGAAAGAAAAAGCAGTCTTGGAAGTTATCCAGTCCTGTGAGGATTAGTCAAGGAGGTTCAAAAGAGTATATTCATATACAGTACATATGTGTCCACTTGGAATACAATTCCGGAAGGTGTTGTTTATTGCTTTGCAAGTTCATGCCTTGCAAGTAAGAACAAGAATGGTTCATGTGATCATTTTTTATTACTCCTCCGTGGGGGG